CGTGCGAATGGGTTTTACACACTGCACACAGGAAGCACAACCCAGGATTCCCTGGGAAAAGTTGGAAACATGGACACGGACCAGAGAGTCACCAGGCTGTGTGTTGGCCCCTCCCGGTAATGCCCTAAGGAAGAGCGTACGTACGCAGTCTGTAAACCGAGCAGAAGCTATGCTTGGCCAGGCGCGGGGCAGGGGGTCTGCAGTGCCTGCCAGAGAACTGCACTGCGGCTGCTCTCACGGGAAGGTGGGTGGGCGGGGAGGTCCACTGTGCCACTGTGCCGGGGCCTCGGAAGGACAGGCAGTGGAGGGTACCTCTGTTACCCAGTCCACTCCAATGCTGCCCGCCTTGCTAGCCACGCACCCGATATGGAAAGGAATGACATTATACAACACAACATCCTTCTGAACTAATTCCACCCCAGTATTTATTCTGAAACTGACTGAAGTGTCATGGAGGAAACCTGCTGAGGGGAACCGGCAAGAATGACATTTTTCTTTCTCAGAGTGTGGCAATATTTATTATTTTTCTCTTTATGAGTGGTTGATTACAACTAGAAAATGAGACATTTGCAATACTGTGATATCTTCAGAATAAAGTGGCTTAGACAGGAAAAATGAAAAAAATGTACAGAGCCAGTCAACATGTGCTATGATGCAGCCGAACAGTTTCCCTAAAAACTGTATTTTGGAAACGGACGTGACTTTTCAAAGGGACACCACTCTTCTGTCTGCCTCCACCATCCTCCCGTTCCAGAAGAGCTGCCACAGGTTCTACAGATACAAAATGTGTGACGCTCATTTTAAGATTACTAGTCGAGGCTGCTATTGACCATCTAATTATGCTGGGTTCCATTTATAAACACAGCTAACCACGAAGTTTATGGAGACTTTCTGTGCTGCCTTAATAGGATATTGATCGAGAATGGGTCTGAGTGGGCTGCCATCGACTGTAACTGCAGACGCACGGCAAGGTCACGGCTGCCGTTCTGCCAGGCTGCAGACTGTACTTTATGTTCATCCTTTTGTTTCTTCCTTTAATGCTCAAGACTGCACAGTTTCTCTCAAAGAACACCTTGCATGAGAATAGAAATTATTCTTACAGTCAATCTCTAGGCCACGCACAGACACCCTGTCGCTTCACGGGGAGCCCACAGGCCACGTGCTCAGACGAGAAAGCTTCACGTCTGCCGTGCTGCACGTCTGTGACGGCGCCCACGAAGCCTGGCTGCCTGGCATTTCCCGTCCTGGCCGGCCCTGAGCAGTGCTTCTGCACAGGACCCTGCAGTTTCGGGCCGAGGCTTGTTCCTCCTGCGGTTCCATTTTCTGGTCGTCCCTGCAGCACAGCACCTTCTGTCCCATTCTGTCCACAGCGTCACACAAGACCACGGCCAGTGGTTCTTAGCAAATGGCCGGCCTGGACATCTGTGTGGATGGGGACCTGGGGACCTGATGAGAGGGCTTGAGTGCCCAGGCCCAGCTCCTGGTGACTGCAGGGTGGGGCAGAGCAGCTCCCAAGGAGGGGCCGCCTTGTCCAGGCCAGCACAGCCCCTCCCACACTGGCCCAGCCATCCTGCAGCACGCTTCATGCATGCAGCAGCCAGGGCTGGGACACTCAGCTGCTGGGTCCTAAGAGGTTCCCAGCAGCACACCAGGAACCCAAAGCCAGCTTAGTGGCAGAGAGAAGTTTTCACACCCAAAGATGCCAAGGATCTAGCTTCTAAGTCCAGGGCTATGAAGTCGCCACGTCACCTCTGCCTAATCCTGTAGCCGGCCCAGACACCCGGCCTCTACTGGGTCACAGGGTGGTGTGCCTGAGGTCCCTTCCCAGGAAGCGCAGTCACCCCAGCGACTCCAAGAAAGCAGGCAGCGCTGCAGAGGGAAGTGGGCAGAAGCAGAGCATTCTGGGAAGAGCTCTTTGGGTTCAGACAAGGTGGGCATATGAGAGCCCGGGGCTCAGGCTCTCAGGAAACCCTGGCAAAAGTCGACACAGGAGCCGAGCTCACAGAGCACTGGGGAAAGGCAGCTGGGGCTTGAGTGTGGGGACGTGCTCTCTCCTCCCACGGGAGAGAGTCACGATCACCTGGCGGCTCTCACAGGCCCTGCTGGACAGGGAATGCTAGCAGCCAGACCCAGTTCCTGAGACAGATGAACCCGGCTTTGTCATCTGCACAAAGTGTCCTTTCCCTGCTGGGTGACACAGCTCTCCTCTCCTTCCATCCCCGGCCTTTAGCAGACCTTGACAAACCAGAGGGTGCTGAGCCCAGGAAGGGCAAGGGCCAGAGCCTCTCTGGCTGATACTGTGGTCCTCCCCTGTGTCACCTCTCCCTGTCCCCTCCCAGGGACACCACAGTGGTGACACCATCAACAAGGACTGAGCACAGCAGTTCAGGGAGCCCTCCTGAGGAAACAGTGACTGAAAACTAACTGGAAACCCGGGGAAAATAAATATCCAGAAAGAACATTTTCAGAGTGAGGCCGCCCTGACTGATGACTGTGTCCTGGGCACGAGGATGTGGGGAAGAGCGGCCACGTCAGGGGTGAAAGGTGACACTGCCCTTGGGGGGAACCAGACACGTCCAGGGGCAGAGCAGGTGAGGGGGCGTCTCCAGGGCGGGAACCACATGGTGTCCCGAGACGCAGTGATGGTCGTGTGTCAGCAACCACAATGCGCACCAAGGTAGCAGCCTGAACCCCAATGGCACCTGTGGGCTGAGCTGATGGCCACATGTCCACCTTGTGCACTCAGCTAATGGTTGGCACTCGCAGCAGGAGGTGCGAGGTGATGAGGGGCCCAGGCGTTCCGCAAGCCACCAAAACTGCGCTGACCAAGGGTTCAGACCAGTACCCCACACCTACCTACCTGGCAGGAGTGGGACCCAGGTTCATCACCAGCACCACAAAAAATGAGAACTGTGAAGTCCATTAATTGAAAACAAAATGGTTCCTGAAAACAACTCCAGGAAGAAGTTTTAATTACATATTTGACTTCTTCTGATCGACATGAATTAGTGTGAACCTTCTTAGAATTTGAAAATCCAGTGACAGCACAGAAGCTGTGGTCCTGCTTGGTTCTGTGACGCAGGCAGTTACAGGAGAGGACCAGACAAAAAGGCTGGACACCTCGATCCCCCATGCCTGGTTCAGTGCTGCTATGGGCTGTTCCCAGAAAATGCTAGTGACGATGAAGATTTTGAATGTCTGCCTCACCTCCTGTGCCTCCCAGGACCTCGCCTTGGGCTTGGCCAGCCCAGCACTGGCCAGCGTGCTTCTGTCCAAGGACCTGGGATGAACCTGGCTTTGTCATCTGCACAGAGTGTCCTGAAAGGGAGGCTGACCAGGGCAGAGAGCCACACCTGGGGTGGGGAAGGGTTCAGAAAGGTGTGCAGGGGAGGAAACTGAGCAGGGGTCTGTGCCCCGGGACGGCCCTGGATGGACCCAGGTCACAGGTCGGGGAGGAACAGAGGTCTCCGGGGCACATGCACCAGGTTGAGCCGAAGCGGGGGTCACAGCCAGTGTCATCCCCCCACACCAAGCAGGCTCAGGCAGCAAGCGCTTGAGGCACGAATCCAGGAGCCCTCAGGAGCGCCAGGCATGGGTTCAGTGGGCACAGGGACAGAGGACCGGGAACAGGCGGCGGGCACACACTCATGGCACACAAGGCCCACACCAGCAGAGAGGTAAAGGGTCCACAGCACCAATCTCAGAGCACAGGGTTCGGTTTTGTTTTCCTTTATTTTTAAGGTGTATTTGGATCTCAGTAAGCATTTAACATATTCTTGCTGTTGTTATAAAAACGGAGAATACCGGCCACTTTCAAATGCCTTACCACACACAGGCACGCACAGAACTGTGCTGGACAGTGGGGCCAGCTGGGCGGAGCTGTCCACGCCCCACTGCCGACTGCGCCCCCCTCCCTATCTGTGGGAGGCTGCAGCCTCGCCCCAGGCTGCCCACCAGCTCCTCACACTTTGGCTGCCCGCAGTTCCAGCACCCACGTCCTGCCCCACAGCCCCGCGCCTCCCCATGCGGCCGGGGTCTCAGCTCTCTCAGGGACTCTGCAGCACCCTTGACGCCTGACTCCGGGCCGGTGACGTGAACAGACCCTTGACTCTCTCGTGGGGGTGGGGCCGGCGAGCAGCACACACCAGCCTAGCCTGGGCTGGCAGGCAGGAAATTCCCTCCGTCCCTGGCTTCTCCTCCTCCCTGGGCTGCACCTCACCATCTGGGCCCGTGGACTCGCCCGAGCTACGAAGGACGGAGATAAGGACAGAGACGGGCGAGGAGCCCAGCCGGTTGGGGTGCCACATGCGCGCCCACCGCCTTCCGCTCCCGAGAGCCAACGCACTAATGTGAATATACCCTGCAGCAGAATTTTAAAGAGCAGTGTGTGGGGAGAAAATGTTAATCACTGTTATTTATTTTTCCTTTGTTATTAGGACCTAGAACATCACTGTCATTGTAGGCAGGCTCTTAAACAGAAGCAGAGAGATGCCCTCGAGGGGACACTGTGTGTGTGAGACAGACAGACAGAGAAGGAGAGACAGACTCCTGGACCCTCTGCAGTGGGCCTACATGGTGTCGCAGCCAAAGTGCGATCAATGGGCTTTGATCGGCAGTCAGGTGGTGACAGCTGCCAGGCAGGGCCGCAGCAGGAATCGACAGGCGGTAACGGCCATGCCACTGTGTCACTCACACTGAGGGCATTAGCATCGCTAAAGGTCAGAGCACATTCTCTCAAAATGCAGTTCTTAGGATTCAAGGAAGATTCAGAACTTGTAAAATCAATTTTGCACTGATATTAAAGACACGTGAGACAGACTTCTGTCATGGCCCTGTGCCTTTCACGAAATCTCTGTGTTTTCCGGAAGTCCCGGCCCAGTACAAGCCTCCTGATGGGAGCGTGCCGAGGGGATTCTGGGAGCTGACTGTCTCCAGGGGCCTAGACGGGAAGTCAACACAAAGCCAAGGCCAACCCCACGAGCGAAGTGAAGTCTACTCACTCTGCGACACACGGACCAGCTCGGTGACACTGAACACTCCCGATGTGACAAAGCTGTCCTGGAAGCCCAGATGTCCTGTGGAAACATAAACAACAGTTTCACTAAGATCAGACGGGCGGCCTTCGGTGATGAGACAGCGCTGGCTTGGACTCCGGAGGCCGTGGCAAGCTGTGACACATGGGGTGGTTCTGAGACAGTTTACAAAAGTTCAACAGGAAATCTGAAACAAAAGATAATTTGAAAGAAATGGTTACCCGGAGTGGCCTATGAGACCCTAACGGCTGGGATGAAATTCACATGCCGAAGAGCCAGCCAGGACAGCCGAGTGCACAACAGTTCAAACATCTCTGAAGAAACATCAGGTCAGGCTTAGTCATGCATTTACTTAAGCCAAACAGAATTTAAAGAAGTCAGCTTTCCTTTCTAGAATCTCTACCAGGAGAGATTTGAGAAAGCCACAAGAGCAAAAGCAAGCTTACTTCATTAAACATAAAAGGAAATTATTTTGTGCACAGATATAAATTTAGATATGCTTAGAGAACACAATTTTTTGTGTTAATATTTTTGAGAAAATATAAATTGATGAATCTATGAATTCAGTGTCTGCTTCATTTTTCTGAATATAGTTAACTTTCTTTAAGATGATTAATATGACCGCTATCATCAATTACTCGCTGGTAATTTTATGGTATATTTAAAAACATACACAAATGGCAAAAAACCCACAAAAAACCAAAATCTATCACATGTACTTAACTCTCTGCCTCTAAAATTTTCTGATTCTGTGAGTCTGCTGTAGGTAGATTCTAGTTGAGGACCTATCTGTAAAGTTATGTCCACCTGCTTTAAACTTTGGCTCAAAGAAGTTGTTAGTTGAAGGGATTTTTTTAAAAAAACTTTTCTTTGCAGTAAGAAACATAACCTTTGAAACATGTAACATAAGAAAACAGACCAGGGCTGGGGATTTAGCGCAGTGGTTCCACCACCTGTTTTGCAAGTGCAATCCCTGGTACAAAAAAAAAAAAAAAAAAAAAAAGGTGTATTTTCTGTATTATTGCGGGAAAGCAAGTTTATATATGGTGCTGAATAGGTACCAGTACATTTATCAAATGTTGTGCATATGAACACATGCAAAACACATTATGTTTTAGTGGATTACAAATAACCATGAGTTATTCTTGTTTTGGTTACAAAGGATTTTTGTATAAGGAGGATTTTTACTGAGATTTAAAAGAAAAATTTCAGTTAACTTTGATATCCAACACACATCTCTGGTATTTTAGATAAAACTATTCTAATTTTGGGATATGCCATAATCATAACTGCTTTACAATACAATGGGGAAGTTTCACTTAAATGTGCTTAAGAAATTTCACCTGTCAAAACAACCCAAACCCAGGTATTCAGCTGGCTTTTATTCGGTGAGTGTCTGCAGCACCGTCTCTTGGATTAAGAGAACTGAGACGTAGAAAAATTAATAAACAAATAAAAACTCTCTAAAGAGGTTTTGGCGAAACAGACGTAACATTTCTTTCTTCCCGGCACACGGGTAAGATTACATTTATCCTACAGATCACCACAAAGGAAATCCAGCCACAACACTGACTGAGGTTGACTTAGCACAGGTACACCGAGGGAGTTCACGGTGGAAAGGGAAATCCAGGGGTCTCTGGCTCTATTCTTTTCTCTTTTTGTCACTTGATTTACGGGCTGATACTTGCTCCTGTTCCAATCTTTGAAATCCCTTATTTTAAGGAAGAATTAACAAGAATTTCTGTACTGACTGACTATAAACACAGGCACTTTAATCCTGCCACCAAAAATCAAGGTGCGTATGTGAGAGGCTCGGTCTTGTCTGCTGCAGAAGGGGGGCTATGCTCATCCACTCAAGGCCTCACCCTCTCCCGGTCGCCTGGTGTCTTTCATCCGCCTCTGGTGTCGGTGCCCGAGTCTGGGATCCCGACCTCCGAGTTACTGTGACATCAGCCACCAGTCTGGACCGCAGTGTCTGTGGAAACCAGCCTGGCCGATCTGCTCGGACTGTTCCCCGGCACACGAGACAGAGCTGCCGGCGGCCGTCTGCGGAATGTGTGGATAGACGCACCCACAAGCCGAGGACTCCACTTCTTCAGCTTTCGCCTGGCTTCAGACCCTTAAATCTCAGTAACTCTCTGTGGGTGTTCTATTCAGAGAGCCCAAGCCCAGAATGACCGTCCAAGGCGGCCCCCCCCCGTCCGCAACCCTCCCATTCAAGCGAATCGCCCCCCCCCCCCGCGTCTTGGGGTCAGCCTGACTCCTCTCTTGGGGCCCATCGATTGGCAGCCCCCTGAGGCTCCTCGCCCTGCGCCTGCCGTGCCAGTAGCCGGGGCCTCCCTGCTGCTCCCCAGCCTCCCAATCACGTGTGCACCACCGCTGGCCTCGGATTCCTCCCTGCCTCTCTCCACTCTGCGGCCGGGCTGCTCTCCGTGGGCAGACCGAGGACTCAGCACACTGTGAACTCCCGCAGTGCCGGGCTTCACGCAGGGCTGGATGTACAGTCCCTGCCTGCTGGAATGGAGACAGCGGAAACGTGGAAAACACCCCTGTGAAGAAAGCCACACCGAGGAAAGCCGCAGCAGAGAGGGTGCGCCCCGTAACCTTGAGAGCGGACACCCGAGGTGCTGAGAAACCAGACATGAGGGTGCAGCGCACTCTCCCGGTGGGGGCGAGCGAGGTCAAGGTGGGGCGAAGCGGCCTCTGGGAGGAGATGGGCGTCCCTGTGTCCTGAGCCCCTGACACTCACAAGCCTGCAGTCAGCTGCACGCGAGTCCCTGGCAGCGCTAGCAGTGCCTGCTCTGCTCTCGGGCTCCCCCTCCACGGCTGCCCCTCTGCCCAGGCTCTTGACTTCTGTGCTCTCCGCAGGTCCTCACCTGTCCTCGGGACCCCGCCCTGTCCTCACCACTGCCGGCCGTCTTCTCGACAGGGGCCATGTGCACGGCTGTGACCTGGGCCTGGGCGGGACCAAGCCTGGTTCCCTCTGGTGGGCACGGCCCTCCAAGCCAGCTGGCCCACCTCAGACCCCAGCCTGGTGCCCGGGCTGCAGGAGGGTCTGCGGGGACACAGCCGGCTTGGCGCCCGTCCCTTCCTCTGCCTGCCTCTCTTAGGTAAAGAGACAGGACAGAGCCCAGCAGGCTGTGGGTTGGACTGGCGGCCATTCCTTCTAAATCCAGGCCCAGGACAGGAGATGTGCTGAGATGCGCTCCGGGCCCAGCATGCAGCACAGCTGGTTTCCCTGACGAGGAAGGGGCCCCTGTTGCTGTCACCTAGTTTACAGTTTGGGAGACCAAGGGGAGAGTTAAAGGGCCGCACCATCTAATTGTCTTTCGGGAGTAGAACCTCCAGGTCCTCCACCCAGAAACTAGGACTGCTGTTATCCTGAAGTCCCTGCAGTAATGACACCACCCCTTCTCCCACCAGGCCTGTGTGGAAAGTGCAAAACGTACAGGGTCAGATCTGAGGGTCCAAAACACAGTATTCCCAATCCTCACTCGGTATCCTCAGATTACCCCAGCCGGGGATGCTCAGAAGGCTTCGCTCCTTCACGATTACTGGGAAGCTTCTGGTAAACTTCAGGAAGATGGTGAGGACACATGAGACCCCAGCACTGTCAGGAGCGACGGGCTGACACCTCCCGGCGTCCCGAGCACACCGTGCTGCAGCTCAGTCAGACAAACCACAGACATGATTCTCGGGGAAATCACACTAACCTTGTTCTCCTACTGCAAAGCACAAGAAAAGTGGAAAAGAAAAGAAAAGGGCAAATTTAAGCAGCTTGGGATTCAGATGTTATTCTCGTTAAAAGATCCTCAGTCAGAAAGCTGATCAAACATTTCCAAAGGTCCCATGGCTGACGCGTTGAATAGGCCCCTAAGAAACGAGGGCATAGCACACACTTTCTCTAAGTTTGCCACAGATGAAAGGCCGGATTGCTCGATGATCTTTCTCTGAATTCTGAACTGCTGCTCAGGAGCAATTGTGCAGGAGACTGAAATGAGGAGCAGAGCTTTTCTCATTCCACGTAAAATGGCTAAAAAGTTCATTCCCTGAAGCCATGTTCAGGGAATTCCCAATGAGACTGTGGTTTCAGAGCCGAGGCTTTAGTTGTACGTGGTGGGGAGAGATGACACTTTTGGGTGGGGGAGAAATGTAAAAAGCGAAGTTCTTTCACGGCAGTTAGGAAAAGCAGCTCCCTACCTCGAGGATGTCAGCGGCAATTACGAAGATGCCTTTAGATGGGAACCGGATCTCATTTCACGGGGGGACTGAGCAACCCTCCACCTTTCCCCGGCGGGAGGAAGGCGCCGGTTTGCAGTGGGCAGGTCACCTTGCAGGACTGCACAGAGGTCCTGCGCAGGGACCCGCAGCCAGATCTGTGCCCGAGACGGGGCTCACAAGCCGAGCCAGGACCGCAGTCCTCAGTAGCAGCCGCCGTAGGTGTGGACGGCACCCCTCCACGGGGAGGACGCATCTCTCACCTCTTCCTGGGGCCTGCGCCTTCCAAGTGCACACGGGGACCCGGGGCAGAGGCTCCCCGGGCTCCTGCTCTCCCGTTCTCACCCTTCCACGGCAAAGTCGCCCTCACTGCCCAGCTCCTCCCTGGGGTTCCCACCCAACGCTGTGAGCCCCACGGGCCTCCACACGCCAGCTTCCTGTATTCCAGGTGTGCGCGGTCAGGTCACAGCGCAGGACCGCCCCTCTGTGGTCTGTCACCAGCCACTGTGGCTGCCTTGGCTACGTCCCCACAGAGCAGGGTGGGCTGACGACGGTGCAGTCAGGCCACAGAGCCCAGCACACCCCAGGTTCTGGTGCGCAGTTAACATTTCCCCAGGGATTCACATGACTGCCTCAAGAGTCCTGTCTGCTGGCCTCGGGCACAGGGTGAATTATTAGCTCACCGATACAGAACGCGCGTCACCTCTGTGGCCTTTGTCTAGAAGATCTGAGAATGTGGGATTTCAGAGGCTGAACGGAACCCATTAAGATCAAATTCTAAAGCTTTGGTCTGCACCTTGATTACATGTGGCTGAGCACTTCTT